CCATCCCACCTCCTTTCCCCTATTCCACCTCACTATCCCTATCCTAACTCTTTTCCTCCATCCCAGCCCCCCACCTTATCCCACTTCTCTACCCCCATCCCACCTCCTTTCTCCCATTCTACTTCCCAACCTTCACTCTATCTCCCTTCCTCTATTTCACCTCCTTACCCCCATCCCAACCTGCTACCCCCATCCCATCTTCCTACCCCCATTTTATCTTCTTTTTCTCCACCCCACCTCCCTCCCTCCGTCCCACCTCCCTACTCCCATCCTACCTCCTTGCCACCACCTCCCCTTCTGACACCATCCCAACACCCTCTTCTACCTCAGCACCCTCTTCCACCCCAACTCCCTCCTCCAACCCAACTCCCTCCTCCACCTCAACTTCCTCCTCCAAATCAATTACTTCCTCCACCTCAGATCCCTCCTCCACCTCAACTCCCTCCTCCCCCTCAACTCCCTCCTCCACCTCAACTCCCTCTCCCTTCTCAATTCCCTCCCCCTCAACTACCTCCTCCCCCTCAACTCCCTCTTCCTCCTCAGCTCCTTCCACCACGTCCACCTCTTCCTCCACCTCAACTTCAGCTCCCTCCTCTACCACCTCAACCCTTTCCTCCAGCTCAGCTCCCTCTTCTACCTCAGCCCCCTCCACCTCAACTCCCTCCTCCACCTCAACTCTCTCCTCCACCTCAACCCCTTCCTCTACCTCAACTCCCTCCCTCACCCCAATTCCTCCTTCCACCTCAACTTCCTCTCCCATCCCAACTCCCTCCTCCACCCCCATTTCCTCCTCTATCCCAACTCCCTCCTCCATTCCAAGCCCTTTCTCTACCCCAACGTTTTCCTCTACCTCCACCCCAACTTCCTCTTCCACCTCCAGCCCAACTCCCTGTTCCACCTCAATCCCTTCCTCCACCTCAACTCCCTCCCCCACCTCAACTTCCTCCACCACCCTCAACCCCACTCCTCCTCCTCCCAACCCAACTCCTTCCCCAAACTGAACTTCCTCCTGAATCCCAATTCCTCCTCCCAGAATCCCAACTCCTTCCCCCATCCCAACTCCTCCTTCCCCCATCCCAAATCCCTCTTCCCTCATCCCAGTTCTCACCTTCCTCACAACTCCTCCTTCCCCCACCACAACTCCCTCCACTGAACCCAACCCCGTACCCCATCCAGACTCCCTTCCCCCATCCAGAACCCCTTTCTCCATCACAATTCCCTCCCCCAATCCTGCCACCTTACCCTGATCCCAACTCCCTACCCCCACCCTAGCTCCCTCCACTAATTTTAACTCCCTACCCTCAACCCAGCTCCCTACCCCCAACCTAACTCCCTATACCCATCTCCTTCAAATTATACTTTTAATTGATATATTCTCTTTATTCGATTCCTTTCTATTTACTAATACTGCATTATATAATCAAAACTCAATTAATAAAGACTTCATGGTTAAGTGAAAACTGTCCTGATCATTTCAGCGTCCAGTGGCATAAAAGAGACTGCATGGAGAACTGGGTAGGATAAGAGATTCGGGGGGGGGGGGGGGGGACTTGGGTAGAGATTGAGGTGAAAGCGTTGAATTGGGCTATAATGAGAAGAGGCTTGATTTACAACAATAGTGGGTGGAAGAAAGGGAGATTGAAGAGGGGGGAGAACAAAGCAGTGAAGAGTCTTAATGGGAGGTAGTGAGGGTCAGGGTGGAGATGCTGGAAAGATAGGGAGTTGAGGTGGGAACTGTGGAGCATAAAGGAAGCTAGAAGGTTCAAGATAGTGGAGGATTATTTAAAAGACATAAATCAAGCCACCTAATATCAACATATACTCCAGGGATGGATATGTACTTGTTATTACATACTTGGCATACACCAGTAAATTAACTCAATTACCTTGGTTCTAAAACTTTGACACATAAAGCCACAACTAATAGTGACTTTTCTGTCACAAGACAGTAACAAGCTGTATATGCCAATCTAACTTTAAATATTTGCGATTGGGGAGAAACGTAATAAAGGAATGTGGGGTTTAGCAACAATTAGCATTAAGATAATTTCATCTGATAAACTCACCTACTTGGAAGAACAAAAAAATGTTCGTAACATGTCCTATCAGATTTTTCAATATTTATCAGAGTTAGGAATACAAGGTTGACATGAAAATCTGAAAAGGACTAACAGTGTGCCGTTATCAGAGAGTTCATCTGAAACTAAGGCATAGATTGTCACAAATGTGGTGGGTGATTTATTGGAAAGGTTACCTAGAAGAAAGTGACAACGGAGGGGAAGGGGAAACTAACGGTGAAACCATACAACTAAACCCCGTTACTTGAGATGAAACTTTTTAAACTCACTGAGTGATAGGTGAGGTTGATAAATTGGAAGGGGGATATTCTGCCAAGAACCCACATACCTACTAAATGCCTGCTTGTGTGGGATGTACATACAATTTAGCAACATAGGATAAAAGGGGGTTGGGGATTATATACCAGTGAAGGAATTTTACTTTTTAGAGAGAGGAGTGAACTGGGGGGAGGGGGGTGGAGGAAGGGGTGGGCAGGGAGAAAAATGCAACAATGAATGAATGGAAATCCAAAATTTCTGTAAATGTTCATTAAAATTAATTAAAAAAGTGGGAGAAGGTATTTTTAAAAAGGGCTCAATTTATCCCACGTTTGTTACATCCATACTTAGCCCTATCCTGATCATTATCTCTTCAAAATCCACAAGATTAAAACCCTTACGGGAAGGAGGATGAGGGGAAGTGCAGAACCTCAAGATTTGGTATATCATCTGGACTGCAAGGCTAAACAATTTTATACAGGATTGACAACCATTGTTTAAACACTTTATTTTAAAAAGTAACTTCCCAGGGAGATAAGAAGCAAGGTCTGCTTAGTAACTGCTTTGAAAATATTACATGATGAGGCTAGTAATCAATTACAATTTCTGGTGGCTTAGTGGCAAGAAGCTGCACTGCAATTCTAAAGGTACACAGTTAGAATCCACCAGCTATGGGCAGTCTCCTCTCATTCGATTAACTACTTCAGAAACAACCTCTTCCTGCCATGGATAGTCAGCTATGGGTTGGTCCTGACTCAGTGTTACACAACAGCAACAATTTCCTATGTCTTGTAACAGGAACCCTGTCTCTATCTTAACTTAAAACACAAACATATATTCATCTTGATAAAACTTTATGCTTTGCCAGTTGGAATTTCTGAGTGGTCTTTTCTTGCATTATCATAATCAATAAGAGAAAAAAATAATGGGAAAATACAGAATTTTTTAACATATAAAAGTATTGAAATATGTTGAGAAGAAGGTACACAGATAAATCAAGGCCTCAAAAATGTGGAGAAGGCCGAGAAAAGGAAGTCATTGGAAATAATAGTGATCAAAATTAAATGGTTTTGAAATACATAAAAGTGGCACAGTACACAGCACATTTGCTACATACCTAAAAAAGATAGTTGATAACTTTTTTACCCAAAGCCCTTAAGATTCTCCAAGAAAAATTAAATATGTGTGCCCTACTCCATACCTATTGCTTTTCTGGCTTCTTTAGACATTTCTGGGGAAGAATTTGGACATACATGTGTGCTTGCCTTAATAATAAGTGTATTGATTTCTTTTAATGGCTCAGTCATTAGGCTAAGTAGTGAGTAGAGGCACAGTAAAAGCAGAAGCACAGTACTGGGGACAGCAAGACCCTGACCTGAGACATGTAGTCCAGCTGATGAGTGAACATACAGGCAGTAGAGTATTCCACTTGCTCTCAGCATACTTAACGAGAGCAATTTGTGAGCAGCACAATTATTTACTTATTTTGTACTGACCAAAAAGGAAAAAAAATTAAATTTGATTGCCTTCAAGTCTCAACAGACACTCCAGCAGGTTTTCAGAGGTTCTAAATCACAAAGGAAGCTGCCCAACATTCTCCCACAGAACAAGCAGGAGCCTTGAACACCATGTCTTTGGGTTAGTAGTGCAACTCTTTATCCACTAAGCCACAAAAGCTTCCTAGAGTAGATGAGGGATCTTAGCAATTTTTATTTAACATTTAAGATTCCCCCTCACAAAAAGACATTAAATGTCTTAAACACTTATTTTGCTTTTTAAAAAGAAACTTGAGGATTAGAAAGGATCAATGAGAATAGAGGGCTAGATGGTTCTTTCCCCTCACATTAGCCTTTTAAGATACTGTTTTAACCCACAGTAAAGCTCCTTAGTTTTCCTTGATAACCCTAGCAATAATTTAATCCTGTACACTTGAAATCTTACTACCTGGTAATGCAGGATTCTTTGAAGAATAAGACTTTGTCCCAAGACAGTGCCTATAAAGAGAATGAGGAAACATCTAGAGAAACCTTAGTTACTTAATGAACATTAAATGATTTAGCATTGTAGTTCTTATGTAAGAAAATTTTCAAAATATAATCATTGACCCAACTTTGGGTTCTTCAAGCTGTCCATGTAATGAACTAAGAAGTAGGAGAAAGTTACACCCAGGGAAATTCTTTATAGGAAGTATCTTCCTAAAGTTAAGCTGCGCTGCGATCCTGAAGGCATGTGTTTCGAGTCCATCAACTGCTTTCTGGGAGAAGGATGGGCAGTCTCCTGTCATGTGATTAACTACCTCTGAAAATGTACTAGGGGGTCAGCAATGGGTTAGTTTGGACTCTACGGTACACAACAACAATAATATATTTCTACATTGCATAAATCTCATTTCTATCAACACAATGTCATAAGTCTAATAAAATAGTGCATCTTCCTACCTTCTGACCTACATCAATTTTGAGACCACATATATTGGTCACTCTTCGTAACATTCAGTCATTTACTACAATCCCAAATTTTGCCACTATCTTTTACCACTGGTTTTTAAGACTGATTTCAGTCATGTGAATGGCATTTTATCAATTTAGGGGCATAACTTATTTTGTCAGTCTAACTTGAGATTGTTCACAGCTTTAAATTGCTTGGCTCCACAGTTAACACTCTTGGCACCAGCAACCAGGAAATTAAAAGACATATTACAATGGAAAAGTCTGCTGTCAAGGACCTCTCCAAAGTACTGAAGAGCAATGGTGTCACTCTGGAGACTAAGGTGTGCCTCATACAGGCCATTGTCTTTGCAATCACTTGTTATGCATCAGAGAGTTGGACAATGACTAGGGAGGATAGAAGGAGAATTGATGCCTTTGAGCTGTGGTGCTGGAGAAGAGTATTGAATGTACCATGGACTGCTAAGAAAATAAACAGGTTCATCTTGGAGAGGGTTAAATTGGGCTGCTCTTTGGAGGCAAGGATTCTGAGGCTTCGTCTGACACACTTTGAACATGTTGTAAGGAAGGACCGGTCCTTGGAGAAAGACATCACGTTTGGGAGGGTGGAGGGACAGTGCAGGAGGGGAAGACACTATGAGGTAGATTGATGCAGTGACTGGTGTAATTGGGGTGGGTGTGTCAAAGACAGTGTGATTGGCATACAGAGCAGGGTTTGGGGCTATTGTACATAGGGTTGCTAAGAGTTGCAAATGACTCAGGGCACACAACAACAACAACAACTCAGAAGTAATGACCTTCAAGAACTCAAAGCCTTGATACCATTTAAGAATGAACAAAGCTATTTAGATGTGGTAAGACAGACCATTGTTGTGGTAAAACTAGATTGCAGAATGCAATTTCTACCTTAAAGTTAACCTTTCTTGAAGACAGATGAGTAAACCTGCCTCATATTCATAATCACCTTGATGCGCATGCTGTTGCAGTAACAGAATCCTACGTATATGTTGCTGGATCAATGGAGCCGGGGTTTGCTAAAACTGTGGAACGATATAACCCAAATTTGAATACATGGCAGCATGTTTGTAGTCTGATGACAAGAAAGCATTCTTTTGGGTTAACAGAAGTCAAAGGGAAGCTCTAAAGCATTGGAGGACGTGGCAACTTTAGTCCTGGTTTTAAAGATGTGACTGTTTATAATCCTGAGCTCGATAAGTG